GTAGAAGTATTATCTAATCTGTTCAAAAGTCTCTATGAAAATAAAAAATATACTAATAATTTCCAAATTCTTAGCTTTGGAAGTTTTGGAATAGTATTAGCTACTAAAAAAGTTAAACTTGATAATAAAGAAATAGTGTTAAAAATACAAAAAATAGTAGGTGAATAAGAAATCTAAAATGAAATTAGTATTATGTAGAAATTAAAAGAGCCGCTAGTGGTATAGCTTTATGATAGCTATATAATAGAAAATAAATTAGGACCTGATAGATACTCAGTCCTTGAATTAGAAAAATGTTCATGTAATTTATTAAATTCTTAATATTATTTTTAATTTAGGTTTCAATTTAATATTTAAAACAACATTTTTATCATAGAAAAAACCAATCAATAAACAAATCAATAAAAATATTTTAAATAAAAAAGTATTTAATTAATTAAAAAATTTTTTAAAAATAAAAAATTAATTTAAATATTTTAAAAATAATTTTTATACTTTCTCTATAAATTACTCAATTAATTTATTTAGAAACATTTTTTTTTAAATGATTTTTAAAAATATATTTTATCACAAATTATTCTTTATTTTGCAAAAGGTTCATTAGATGAATATCTTGAAAGATCAAACAAAGATGGATAATTTAACGAAGATGACAAATTTTAAATAGCTATCTAAATTATTGATTCTGTCAATTATATTCATTCATTTAATATCCTTCATAGGGATATTAAACCAGAAAATTTTTTGGTTTATTTAGAAGGAAAATAACCAGAAATAAAATTATGTAAATAAATTATTTATCCATAAAGAATATTTCATTATCATTTGATTTTAAGGTGATTTCGGCTTATCTGCTTAGATTCCAGATAATGTGGATTCAATTCAAACTATAGAAGTAGATTTTTAATTCTATAATTATTAAATATTAAAAATAAATTTATATAGCACATAGGAAATTTAGGATATTCTGCACCTGAAATACTAAATAAAAATGATAATGAACTTAAGTTTTATACAAAGAAAGTACTTTTTTAATAAAAAATGTTAATTTTAAATAATTATTTTATTTTAGTCTGATTCATATTCAGTAGGATTATTGCTAGCTTTGTTAGATAATTATTAAGATCTAAAGACAAATACAACTTCAAATTTCGCATTAATGACACAAAAGTAGTTAGATAAGCCTTTCGAAAAATCAAATATTTAAATTAACAAAAATTCATAAATTTATAAATTTATTAACCTTCTTGTTCTTTCTGATAGTAGTTAGAGGGCATCTCTCTATGATATCGTTGAATAAAGCGATATAAAATTCTTAACTAATTCAAAAGAAATGAAATAAATTGTACAAAAAACTCTTTTGGTTCAAAATGATAAAAAATTAGAGTAAAATGCGACTATAAAAATTAAATCTTTAAAGGATTTGAGCAAAGCTTAAAATTACAATATTGTTAAAATAGATTTAAGGTAATTTTTTCTTTTAAATTTGTACTTTTGATATTTTATTATAGCACTTCCAGTTATTAATTAAATTCTTATGGATGTGGTAAATTAAGAATTTAATTCCTGGATTTGCTATAAATAAAGTAGATTAATTAATTTAATAATTTTATTTTATTTTTTATTATAAAATATTTGTTTTATAATTTTTTAATATAAATTACACTCTTAATCATTTTAAAAGAACATTAATTTGTTATTTAATAATCTAATAATTAATTTCAAAACTCTATAAAAAATAAAACTAAAATATAAAAATTCAATAAACTATTTAACAATTAGATTACTAATTTTCAATAAATAAAATTAATAATATATAATTTTATTCGAAATAATTAATTTTTTATTGAGCAAGATAAAATTTTAGATTTTAATTTAAAAAATTAAAACGAGATAATTATTATTTACATTAAAAAATGTCTAAATTAAGACATGAAATAAAGGGATTTCTATATTACTAATACTTACATAATTATAAATTTATGAAAATATTTTAAAATAAAAAAAAATTTAATTTTTAAAATAAATTATGTTCGAAATAATTAATGATAAAAAAAATGAGTGATTTAATGATTTAATATATTTAATTAGGTTTATGAGTTTTAGCTTTTACTTAAGCAAACATTTAATATGTTTTTCATAAAAATAGTAATAAATAAATGATGTTTAAAAAACAATGAATTCTAAAATTTAGACTAAATCATAAAATCATAAAATAATTATAAAAATTTATAAATTTAAATATCTTTAATATTTTTTTTATTGGAGAATTAAGTGAAGTTAGCACAAAGTAAAAAATTTTTAAACATATCATTATAATAAAATTGAAGAAGATTTATAAAATTAAAAGAAAATAGATAAAAATACTATTAAAAAAAGCAATATACTAGCTTTAAGTCATAATATACAAAATCATATAAATATAAAACAGTAGAGGCAAAAAATTTAAATTTGTAAGTAAAGAAAACTTTGAGTGTAAAAACAATTATGAAAAAGACAAATTTTCTAATTATGAAATTAAACCAAATAGTTTAATTAATATCATGTTTATCTATTGAAAGAATTTTGATATTGATCAAAAATTTATTTTTATTTATCATCTCAAACAAAATTTGGTTATAATTAATTAAATGTACTAAAAAATATCTATTTTTTTTTTTTAATATTCTTTCATATTTACATTTTTTATTTTATTATTATAAGTAGAAAAAATGCTAGAGAGTTTAAATTTTAAGTATTTTTTCAGTTTTAACATTTTTTTGTTCATAAGTTTATTAATAATTTCTATTTAATAGATTTTAGTATTTTTTAATTTTTACATTAATCCAACTTATATAGAAAATAAATTATGGATTATTAATTTCATATTATTAATTATTTTTACTCCTTCAAAAACAAACGAAGATACTAACAAAACCAACAATCTTTTTTTACAATCCTTTCTCCTCCAAATTTATTTTCTTAATTCATTATTTATTCTTATATTTAAAGTCATATTAGAATTGGTGCAAAGGGTGCAAAAGATTTAGGCACAGGAATAGCGTAGTGCAAGAATATCACAAGTTTGACACTTGATTTAAGGTAAAAACTTAATTTATTGATTGATAAAGCAAGAAATTTTGAAAAAAATTGATTATTTTGTTGATTTACGCTTTTCACTTAGTGATTAGCTAATTAAGTCACTTCGTTAGTAAGCAAGTTAGTTAGTTATTTATTGTTTTATTAGATTGCTTTTTTAATTACTTACTGACTTACTGACTTACTTACTCCTCAACTAAAAAATAATCAATTTGTTAACTTACTTACTTACTTACTTAGTTAGTTAGTTAGTTAGTTAGTTAGTTAGTTACTTACTCCTTCAAAAACAAACGAAGATACTAACAAAACCAACAATCTTTTTTTACAATCATTTCTCCTCCAAATTTATTTTCTTAATTCATTATTTATTCTTATATTTAAAGTGGTAATAGTATTGGTGCATAGGGTGCAAAAGATTTAGGCACAGGAATAGCGTAGTGCAAGAATATCACAAGTTTGACACTTTAGATATAGTAAAAACTTAATTTATTGATTGATAAAGCAAGAAATTTTGAAAAAATTGATTATTTTGTTGATTTACGCTTTTCACTTAGTGATTAGCTAATTAAGTCACTTCGTTAGTAAGCAAGTTAGTTAGTTATTTATTGTTTTATTAGATTGCTTTTTTAATTACTTACTGACTTACTGACTTACTTACTCCTCAACTAAAAAATAATCAATTTGTTAACTTACTTACTTAGTTAGTTAGTTAGTTACTTACTCCTTCAAAAACAAACGAAGATACTAACAAAACCAACAATCTTTTTTTACAATCATTTCTCCTCCAAATTTATTTTCTTAATTCATTATTTATTCTTATATTTAAAGTTCGAATAGTATTGGTGATGTGGATGCAAAAGATTTAGGCACAGGAATAGCGTAGTGCAAGAATATCACAAGTTTGACACTTGATTTAAAGTAAAAACTTAATTTATTGATTGATAAAGCAAGAAATTTTGAAAAAAATTGATTATTTTGTTGATTTACGCTTTTCACTTAGTGATTAGCTAATTAAGTCACTTCGTTAGTAAGCAAGTTAGTTAGTTATTTATTGTTTTATTAGATTGCTTTTTTAATTACTTACTGACTTACTGACTTACTTACTCCTCAACTAAAAAATAACCTATTTGTTAACTTACTTACTTAGTTAGTTAGTTACTTACTCCTTCAAAAACAAACGAAGATACTAACAAAACCAACAATCTTTTTTTACAATCCTTTCTCCTCCAAATTTATTTTCTTAATTCATTATTTATTCTTATATTTAAAGTGGTAATAGTATTGGTGCATAGAGTGCAAAAGATTTAGGCACAGGAATAGCGTAGTGCAAGAATATCACAAGTTTGACACTTTAGTTAATGTAAAAACTTAATTTATTGATTGATAAAGCAAGAAATTTTGAAAAAAATTGATTATTTTGTTGATTTACGCTTTTCACTTAGTGATTAGCTAATTAAGTCACTTCGTTAGTAAGCAAGTTAGTTAGTTATTTATTGTTTTATTAGATTGCTTTTTTAATTACTTACTGACTTACTGACTTACTTACTCCTCAACTAAAAAATAACCTATTTGTTAACTTACTTACTTAGTTAGTTAGTTACTTACTCCTTCAAAAACAAACGAAGATACTAACAAAACCAACAATCTTTTTTTACAATCCTTTCTCCTCCAAATTTATTTTCTTAATTCATTATTTATTCTTATATTTAAAGTGGTAATAGTATTGGTGCATAGAGTGCAAAAGATTTAGGCACAGGAATAGCGTAGTGCAAGAATATCACAAGTTTGACACTTTAGTTATTGTAAAAACTTAATTTATTGATTGATAAAGCAAGAAATTTTGAAAAAATTGATTATTTTGTTGATTTACGCTTTTCACTTAGTGATTAGCTAATTAAGTCACTTCGTTAGTAAGCAAGTTAGTTAGTTATTTATTGTTTTATTAGATTGCTTTTTTAATTACTTACTTACTCCTCAACTAAAAAATAATCAATTTGTTAACTTACTTACTTAGTTAGTTAGTTACTTACTCCTTCAAAAACAAACGAAGATACTAACAAAACCAACAATCTTTTTTTACAATCCTTTCTCCTCTAAATTTATTTTCTTAATTCATTATTTATTCTTATATTTAAAGTGGTAATAGTATTGGTAATGTGGGTGCAAAATATTTAGGCACAGGAATAGCGTAGTGCAAGAATATCACAAGTTTGACACTTGATTTAAGGTAAAAACTTAATTTATTGATTGATAAAGCAAGAAATTTTGAAAAAATTGATTATTTTGTTGATTTACGCTTTTCACTTAGTGATTAGCTAATTAAGTCACTTCGTTCTGACTTACTGACTTACTTACTCCTCAACTAAAAAATAATCAATTTGTTAACTTACTTAGTTAGTTAGTTAGTTAGTTAGTTAGTTAGTTAGTTAGTTAGTTAGTTAGTTAGTTAGTTAGTTAGTTAGTTACTTACTCCTTCAAAAACAAACGAAGATACTAACAAAACCAACAATCTTTTTTTACAATCCTTTCTCCTCCAAATTTATTTTCTTAATTCATTATTTATTCTTATATTTAAAGTGGTAATAGTATTGGTGATGTGGGTGCAAAAGATTTAGGCACAGGAATAGCGTAGTGCAAGAATATCACAAATTTGACACTTGATTTAAGGTAATAACTTAATTTATTGATTAATAAAGCAAGAAATTTTGAAAAAATTGATTATTTTGTTGATTTACGCTTTTCACTTAGTGATTAGCTAATTAAGTCACTTCGTTAGTAAGCAAGTTAGTTAGTTATTTATTGTTTTATTAGATTGCTTTTTTAATTACTTACTGACTTACTGACTTACTTACTCCTCAACTAAAAAATAACCAATTTGTTAACTTACTTACTTACTTACTTACTTACTTAGTTAGTTAGTTAGTTAGTTAGTTAGTTAGTTAGTTAGTTAGTTAGTTAGTTAGTTAGTTAGTTAGTTAGTTAGTTAGTTAGTTAGTTAGTTAGTTACTTACTCCTTCAAAAACAAACGAAGATACTAACAAAACCAACAATCTTTTTTTACAATCATTTCTCCTCCAAATTTATTTTCTTAATTCATTATTTATTCTTATATTTAAAGGGGTAATAGTATTGGTGCATAGAGTGCAAAAGATTTAGGCACAGGAATAGCGTAGTGCAAGAATATCACAAGTTTGACACTTTAGTTATAGTAAAAACTTAATTTATTGATTGATAAAGCAAGAAATTTTGAAAAAATTGATTATTTTGTTGATTTACGCTTTTCACTTAGTGATTAGCTAATTAAGTCACTTCGTTAGTAAGCAAGTTAGTTAGTTATTTATTGTTTTATTAGATTGCTTTTTTAATTA